ATTAATTACATTCAAATAGACATGCAAACGATTACCGTTCAATCATCATCAACCTACTCTTATCCCCATCGACGGGTCGGCACAGTATGTACTACTCCTCCATACATCTCTATCAGCCGTCATATCCGAGTCTACCCCCTTCTTACACGAAGTCATTCCATACTTTTTTTGGTCTTCCTCTACCCTTGTAGCCATCCACATTCAATCTCATTATTTTTTTGCTTATATCATCATCATCCCTCCGCATAACATGTCCAAACCACGCTAATATTTTACACCTCAATTTCTCGATCACTGGCGCTACTTTCAAACTTCCTCTAATATACACATTTTTAACTTTATCCTTTCTTGTCGCATTTCAGCTACATGCAACCTTCTTTTATCCGAAACCTTAAACGATTACCGTTCAATAATTAACAAAAAAACAATGATTTTAATTTAAGTAACCAAAACTATATTTGACAAGTTTATAATAGATGCTATTGAATTATCCTACGAGTAGATAGTGTCACATGCTATTAGTTCACTGGCGACAGATGAAAACCTCAAGGGTCACGAGTACAGACACACATGTGGGATATTGTACCCTCGCAGACAACTTACCACCGCACATTTATCTCTTAACAGTGTAACCCCTCCAATCGGATCACGTGGCTTAATCGAACCAACCCATTATATTATAAGGATTAACTTGACAGGAGAAATTAAATATTTTAATGCTTCTATTGTTTTGATATAGAATTTAACACGTGTAACAACTGAAACAGAGCAGTAAAGAGAAAAAGTAATTAAATCATAAGAAATATCTAATTTCTATTACGTGTACTCAAGGATATACGAGACGATATGTCAATGCCTTACTGTAGTTTATAGAGGCGGAAGAATTCAAGTCTACCCAGTAATTTTGATCTATAAACATATATAAAGGAAAGTCGTATTAGTTATACTATTCATAACTTAAGAAAGGCTATACCGATATGGCTAAAACTTGGTGAGGAGGAAGCTTAGGGCCAAAAGACGGACATAGGATACTATTTATTCTTTTTTTTCGAATTTATGCCTTGAAGGGCTGCTTTTTATTTAACTTTCTCATATTATAAATGCGAATGTTTAGATGGATGGACGTGGATGGATGGATAGGTGGACTACACTAATTAAGTTTTTTTACATATCCACGCGGACGGAGTCGCGGGCGACAGCTAGTATCATACTAAAAATGTTAATAACGCAAATGATTACATGGATAAACGTTTGAAGGTATCTCCAGAACGACTACAAGGATCTCGCTGAAATTAGGCATAGATGTAGAACATAGCCTGTAAGAACACATAGGGTACTAATAAAGTTTTTTTTTAATTCCACGCAGACGGAGTCGCGGGTGACAGCTAGTTCTAAAATAAATATGGTATTCTCTTTATAATATTGTTTAGATTTAATATGGTATAAAATGAAAGTATAATTTATTCGAGGGGTAATTGTCTTTTAATTTAATTAATTCCAAAACAGGAATGTGTAGGGCTTCAATATATTGCGACCCTGTCGTCAAGATTGTTGTCACTTTTAATTTGTTTTGTTTTAAAACTTGAAGAAGGAAAATAATTTGGGAGACAAAAATTTTAATAAGCTACGTAACTCTACATCACTGGAATGATAATAAAAATCCATCTCTTTGTAAACAAAATAAAAACTTAGTGTTTGTAATTCAAGGTCTCAAGAATATTTAAGAGAATCAGTCTGAAGTCATATTAATTTGCTTACTTACTAATATTATAAATGCTAATGTTTAGATGAATGGATGAATGTTTGTTTGAAGGCATCTCCAGAACGTAGTCTGGAAGAACACATATTCTACTAGTTAAGTTTTTTAATTCCGCGCAGACGGAATCGCGGGCGACTAGTAATTAAATAAAATTTAAAGTTTAAGTCGGCACTCAGTGACATATTTAAATCTTTAATGCCATGATTCGAGAACCGCTTTGTTTGCGAATGAAACGTCAGATTAACGGAACTTTTTAATTTTCACGTGAATTCCGGTAGCGCATAAGCGTTTTCACATGAACTTGTCTTTATAAGCGGCAATTTACTGTGTAATCATTTGGAAAGGTAAACTCAGTGAGAGAAGAATATTAGAGTTTATAAATTTTTCAAACTAATCTTAATTAAATTTCTCGGAAGTATTATGTGTTTATTTCGTATTGTTTTTAGATGTATTTATTTATTTATCATACTCTTAATATAGTACATTTCATATATAAAATGAAAAACTGTACAAAATATGTTATATTAAAAATATAGCACCACCGGCTGCGGAATCCCAAGACTCAAGCAACCAGCGGTCAGGGCTGCAGAGACAGGAACTTGCTCAAGATGCGTTCGGTTTCTAGAATAACTGCTTTTTGTATCTTGCCCTTAATTTAACTAATAAGCGAGAGCTTCTTAAGATGTTGGTTGATGTTTCGTATTGTTATTATTACTTAGATCCAATTTATCAGCGATTGAGGAATTCAATAAAGAATATCTTACACTCTTGTAATTTGTTCAAACTTTCGTGAGACATTATCATAAACTTTTATAAAAACGGCGAAAACACTTACGTATGTCCGTACGTAGGGCCCCCGATGGGCGCGAAACTAGTCGGTGCCGCCACCGGACGAACATACGTGACTGTTTTAGCCGTTTTTATATAAGTTCTTGAAATTCGAATTACAATTCTACCACTTAAGGCAAAGATATATTTGCTTATTATGTTATTTTTTTCTCAGTGCATATCATTTCCTAATCGTATGGAAAAAAATCTCTCGTTTATAAGAAGCTTCAACCACAGATGGATGTTTTCTTAACTCATTACTTGACGGGAAGATAACTGGATGACAACACGTCAAAAGCAAATATGTATGTCACTCCTAAGCTTTATACAACACGGCATTCAAACCATTTCCTAAGTCCCCTTTACAGAACGTTAAAAAGAAATGAAGCGGAAAAAAATCATAATCCATGTCGGCATTTGCTTTTGAAATAAATTGACGAAGTTTTTTTTTTGAATGTAGGAATATTTGATTAATCTCATAAAAGACTGGCAGGGAAAGTTACAGTGAAAAAGCTATAGAAGCGCCCTCAATACTGTTTTCTTTTTTTGAAAAAAAAAACCTGTTCACGTTGTAGTACTTGATGCATTCAAACAACTCCAGCCGAGTGCTGGACCACCGCTAGCGTTTTTACTACTTAAAAATACATTGCACTCCGCATATGGTAAAGTTACTTTCAGCTCTATTGGTTCCAAATACTTCATTGTAATAATGTATAGAAGCTTTATTTCTATACGTAGCAAATGAGATCAATTCTGTCTCGACAACTTAGTGAGCTTAAATATTATCATCGCTTTTTAAATATGATACTAGTAGCTGTCGCCCGCGAATCCGTCCGCGCGGAAATCATTAGTAGCTTATGTGTTATTTCAGGCTATATTCTACGTATATGCCTAATTTTAGCAAGATACATACCCCCTTTCTGGAAATACATTCAAACAAACATCCAATCATCCATCCATCTAAACATTCCCATTTATAATGTTAGTAAGATATTAGTAAAAGTTTTCTCACAAATTTCGCGTCATCAATTGTTATATATGTTTTGGATCGCTTTAAATTATCTCGTATAATGCCATTAACACGTTGGCTGCCACAATGATTTTTTGAAAAAAATATTTTTTTTAATGTAGGTATTGAATAGAAGTATGGCTTGTCGGACATATAGTCCGACACGGCCTGATTGAAACATTAGCTTGTCGGACATATAGTCCGACATGGCAGCTAACGTGTTAAGAAAACAACAATCGTCATATACTCTCATATTCCTATTCCAAATGTCAGTTAATCTTCTTAACTAATTATGCAGGAATTGAAATTTTGTGCTAGTCAAAACTGTTAACAGTTTTGTCAACGGCAAAGTTCGAAACCCTTTCTATGTCAGTAATTTGGAGGTCTAATCCTTCTAGACCTGTAAGCCGACGTGTAACGTTCTTACGAATTGTTACAACTACGCCAAGGTAGTTAAAGTTTGCGAACAATGCGCCAGGTAGGGAATAATTATGACTGTTATATTTTATCGTTTATAAATTAATGATAATAATAACCATTTGTATTACTTGCTATTGTCGACTCCGTACGCTAGGAATTAAGAAAAAACGTAATTAGTAGCCTATGTATTCTTCCAGACTATATTCTGCATATGTGCCAAATTTCATCAAAATCCGTTGACCAGTTCCGGAGTAAACTTCTATAAAACATCCATCTATCCATCCAAACGTCCACATTTATAATATTAGTACGATAGTACCAAGTAAAAATTCTTGGTTAATCCGTAATTTTAAATACATCTTTAATTCTCTATGTAGAGATATTCTGAGCTGTTTTCCACTATGCATTAAAAGCTATTGTAGTATAACAGCTTACAAAAACTATCTGCACTGAATTGCCTTCACGGCGTGTTAGCATTCACGAACCGACCATATTTCGTATTTTATCCGTTTCATTAGACAGTTATATTATAACAACGTGTGTAAACCCCTCCCTCGCGAGCCGACCAAAAGAGTTTTTATTTTCTGCCTCTTCTGAGCCCGCTTTTGTCCTTTTTTCGTTTGGCTTGTTTTATATGGGGCGTTTAATTCGATAAAATTCGCGTGGACTCGAATTGGTTTAGGAGAGTTGGAAAATAGAGCGGCATGAAAATGTTCCTGGCTATGTCAATGTAACTATTCGCTTTTCGGGAGCCGCTTTAACCAAAGGAATTGTGCTAATTTATTACACTTTACTTACGCCGATTCACTTTCGTTTTCTTGATATGTTTTCTATAGTATCCTTAGGATTTAAAATTAAGACAGCATTATTTTTGGTACGAGTATATAAATATAATTCTTTTTAGCTCTGTAGTGATAAGAAATTTTTGTATTAACATAATTTTAATTTTCGATTAGTTAACTTTTACAATTTGTTTATCACTAGGTCTGCTTCGGCTGCAACAACTGTACCAGACAATGCAACCGGGTCGGACAACGTTTCGTATATCACTCGTGAAGCGAATTAATAACGCATCAGATGCAATGGAATTTCTGTTGAGTTTGGAACAGTATGACCGATGGAGCAATAAACGCATAGTGCTCGACTGTAACGCGAAAAATGCGAAAAACATACTAGTGGAGCATGTGCGAAAAGTACAATTGGGCCGTAGAACCTACCACTACATGCTCAGTGGGCTGGTAAGCTTTTTCTGTTTCACTGAGCCGACGCCGAATAACGTGGAACGTGTAACAACCAATTGCAGGCGATCTCAATTGTCAATCGTTTTGAAATCACAGTACGTAAAAAAAGGTCAATTCACTCTTGGCCGATTTAGAAACGTACACATCGCTTTTATGGAAGAGTTATTCCATTTTAAAGTTTAACGAATAAACTCGCGTCAAATACCGATTGAACTTTATCCTTTTCAAATGCGTTTAGTTTTTTGTAAATTATTAATACAATTTGTAATTAATTGGGAACTTTAAAATAATATATTACTTTAAACCTCACGTTTGCATTTCCTTTCGAATTACCGTATTGAGTAATACACTATTACATTTTTTGTAATTTTTGCGACAATAGATATATTTTAGAACGCAAGAATATAATATAATACTGATCTTCAATAATGGAATTGAGAAATAAATTACTTTAAAACAGTATTAAAAAGAGTAAAGCGTATCATTAAATATCTAAATCTTATCATTTTAATATTAAAAACGATGTGTAATTAAGTTTAATTTTTGTTTTATTCAATTAACAGGTTATGGACGATCATTGGGAAAATGAAGTAACGGAATACGGTGCTGTTAATATCACTGGTTTCAGAATTGTGGATCATTCACGGAAGATCGTGCGTGATTTCATGGACGGCTTACGAAGAATGGACCCCCGTTTCAAGGGGACCATATCGGTAAGTGGATATGCTTTTAACGCAACTCTATATGCCTTGCCTGACAGTGGCAGTTTAATTAGCGAGTTCCGTACTACGATTGAGTTTACAGCACTGCAATCATGTCAGTTTAGAAATGTATGCTTATTTCATAAAATCTACCATATTTCTATCAAATGATGTTTCCGTTCATTTTTCCAATATCTATTTTATATTGTTGCCTTTTATGCTACACGGAAATCCTTTGAAGTGGCTTTCCGCGTTTGTATTGTACGTAAAAGAAGAGCCTATTAGTGATGGAGAGGTTTTGAGTACTAAAAATATGTACGATGAAACAAGCACTCGATCGTTGGCAACCTCTTGAAGGCAAAGAAAGTAATATTACAATTCAAAATAATATTGAAAGAACTACATAGTAAAAATTAAAAAGCGTTTAAAAATACCTAAATTATTTTATATCGTCTTTTAGATCGGCTGATAGAAATGTATAGAGTCAATTGATAAGTGCATGATGATTTTTCGTGTTTTGGGTTTGGTTGTTGTATTTGTTTATAAAATATAAAAAAAAACTTATAAAAATAGTATAAGATATAAAATGTAACAACAAAACTCTGACCTAAATAAGTGTTCCGATAACAATAGCACGATTCTTTCTTTTAATTTCTTGAAGCAAATCGTGACAATTTCTCTGTTACTGTTAAGAATTTTTTGATATTTTTCTTCAAATTCCCAGCTGCAATTTATTACCACATTTTGTTGAGGAAATCATACATATTTTGAGAAAGGATTATAAGGTTGGTTTCCCTTAAAATGTATGTATAATGCTTTCGCAACAGATAGTTTGTTTTTTATAATACAAAGATGTATTCATAGAAATTGTGCTTTATCTCTATGTTACAAAAATATAACGCTCATAATATTTTATAGGGGTACCTTACACCTATGGTTGACTATAGCCTAATCACTCTTAACTTAGAGTAGGCTCCGAGCCTCTCGGTGTGGATGTATAGTGAGCTAATGATGATGATAACACCTTCACTGTATTAAAATTATAGGTTTACAAGGTTTTTTCCTTATAGCATGAGCCTGCTCGTATGTCACAAATAAGGCTGCGGCCACCGGAATTCGCCAAAACAGCGAAGTGACCGCTGCTCATAATCATCAGTATGTCTTTCTTAATAATCAACATAGGTGTGGTGTGTCCAAGACAGAAAGAGTATATTTCCTCTACCTACGCCCCTCCCCCGCCAAATCCACTTCCCCGTCTCTTCCATTCCAGGTTCATAAAGTTTAGTGATAGAACTTTTGCCTCGGGCAGGTGTATCCATTTTTATCGCAACGATTGATCTCTCCGTGCGGTGTAAATTTCTGTAATAGAGTCTAAATTTCAATATTCAAGAATTCTAGCGTATTTTATTACAAATTTCAATTAAATAAAATCCCTGTGATGTTAATGGAATGAAAGTGAAAACTTCATCTATACCTTACTTTAAAATTAAAATTATAATAATAAAATAAAAAAATCTATTCATAAAAGATTAACATAGTTTCGTACTAATATATGAGAAAAGTACAGATTAGTTTAAATATTTGTAATAACTATTTAAGTTTTCACAAAATAAGTTGTGCTTAAGTGATACAAGTTTCAGCGTCTCAACTGCCAGTCTTACTTTGATGTATCCAAATTTTTTTACTTACTATCTAGCCATAAAGGTTGTATTACAAGCCGCGCCAACCTTTAAATTTAATATAAACATAAACTCTACACTAATTTAAGACTTAGGAGCATATTTATAAATCTTCTTTACTGAAAGTATCAACAAAATTTTACGACAAACCCAAAACGTTGCATAAAGTCAGCACCGAGGTGGTAAATAACATTTCGTTTAAAGAAAATTCCGACGTAGAGTAATAACGCGTTTATGTAGATTTCACTAACTTGCGTACACCCTAATGAAACCGTAAGTGGTTACCCGGCATAAATTATTACTTCATATTATGATCTCTCCGTTTCGAGTTACACTTCGGCCTTTTTAGATTTAACAGCGTTCTCACTTGAGAATTGTTTCAGAGAAATTGGTAATGTGTTTATGGTAATATATCATAATGTATGCGTTGAGTGATCCACTGGTATATTATGTTTATGATGGCTAATAAAAACTTTGTAAGCATTTTAATATTATCAAAATATTTTGGGCAAAATATTACTACGTATTTTTACTTTTATAGATTAAATATTATAGATTATGTCTTTTTATTGCACCTCATCTAATTTATGATTAACTGACTATCGTCCGCGATATAGTCCGCGCGGAATTAAAAAGAAAAAATCTTAATTAGTAGCCTATGTGTTCTTCCAGGCTATGTTCTATACCTATATATTTTAACCAAATCCATGTAGCTGTTTTGGAGATACCTTCTAACAAACATCAATATATACTTTCGTGTTTATAATATTAGTAAGATAAAAAAAGAAATGTTACACTTAACGTAACCTGGTCTTACATGATTTGTAAGTTAATTTTTAGTTTAAATGAATTTATATAGAAGACCTTTGAAAATAGACAAAACAGTATTAAAAGTTAAAATTTAAGATAAAAATATAACTTTAAAATTAGATGAATAAATAAATCAACAACCAAATAACCGAAATCAATTTGTTTATCCGCTATGTTCGCTGTACTGACAACGGTTGGAAGATGGAGAATGATTGATTGACTTCCATCCATGTCATTCGCCACTGTTACGATTCCATTCCAAATCACTACCTTAGTTACAGTGCGCCACTCATACGAGAAATCGTGACAGAAGTAATTCTGTATGCATTTACAAATTGTATTTCTCATCAATTTGGGCCAAACATAAGTGTTAGTCTTCGGCATAATCAATTTATTTAATTAACAATGAAGTGTTGGTTAAACGAACTAAAGCAATGTTTAAATAAAACATTAAATCATGTCACCAATCAAGGATGATTAATGAATTGGTTTTTAAAACAACAAAAGTAAATAACATTAATAATTTGAAATTATTTATCTAAATAATACAAACAATTTTATATGCGAAATAAATAATCGATATATTATTTTCTAATGTTATCTTAATTTTACTTCTTACTAATATTATAAATGGAAAGTTTAGATGTATGGATGTATGTTAGAAGGTATCTGGAAAGGTTCAACAGATCTTGATGAAATTTTGCACATAGAAGGTGTAGAACATAGTCTAAAAGAACATAGACTTATAAAGTTTTTTTTTGTAATTCCGCGAACGACCGTTAGTTTTATATAAAACTAAACAAAACTTTGATAACAGGCGCAAACTGCGCTTATGTACGACGGTGTACAAGTACTTATGGACGCGCTTGGACGACTGATGAGAAAGAAACCTGATGCGTTCAGAACAGCTTTACGCCGTGCTGCAGCGCAAGCGAACCTTACCAAAGTAATAGACTGCAATCCTAGCAAGAGCTGGGTTGTACCATTCGAACATGGTGATAAAATATCAAGATTAATAAAAAAGGTAAGAGTTATTTGGTATTTAAAATTAGTTTTGACATTTGAGCTAATTTTTTTCTTAATTGGACTGAGACGTAGAAGAAAATTTGATAAATTGTTACTTTTGAAAAAGGTTTTGTTTTAAATTAAACGGAGTTAAGTTAAAATGAATAGTACTTATAGTTAAGCTCATCACGGTATGACTGAGAAATACAAATTCAAATATTTATTTAGTTTAAAATAAAGCGGCATCCAAGCCCGTATTTAAAGAAAGTTTAGCTTTGTGCCGTCAACGTTCTCGGCGCTTTGTCGCGTTTGATATGTGGGCATAGAATCACACACACATTATTCTGTGCCACTTCGTATGTATGATAGTTATTTGTTTCTATTTTGCAATTTTACGTTTGAGTCCGAGTTTCAAACAATAAACAGGTACATTTGTCACACGTGTATAACTTTCTATTTATGATGTATGAGCATATTTAGGGAGTTATAGAGCGACGTTTTTGTGTGTAACCATTGAACTAGTAATCTATAGATCCTGGATTCAATGCTTGACATGGTGGTTTTAGAATTTCTTATGTACCTACATTTATCGGACGTTATTACGATGAACGATAATATTGACACAATCCATATGTTGGCGAAAAAATTTAAAGATGTTTGCACCATTTCGTTCTAGTCTTGCGAAGTTGACTAACACCTAATCATCCCTGATTTAGAGTAGGCTCGTAGGTTGAAATATGTTTGATATCAACAACAAAAATCTGAGTGTTCTTTTTATTTTAGACGGATATCGAGGGTCTTACGGGAAACATTTCATTCGACGAAGAAGGTCATAGATATAATTTTACTTTACAAGTTGTAGAAATGACAGTTGAAAGTGCGATGATTCAGGTAAAGTTTTTTTTCTTAAAATATATTTTTTTAATTCTAATTTATTTCTGTCCTGTATTTATATAATATAATAATATACTTTTTTATGATCTGTGTTTACTAAAGAAAATAAGAAGAGTCTATATCTCGGATCTTAAACAGGGAAAATAAAATTTAATAAGTTTTTATTGTGATATCCAAAATATAAATTTTACGAGTGTACACAAAACAGAAATGTTTATAAATTTTACTGCTGCCAGACGTCCCGTAATTTTTCTTATACTAGAGTTTCTTTAAAATACATTTCTTTTTAACTAATATGAATCATTTCTCAGATTTTGCTGTTTTATAAAGTTCTTCGTGATTTAACAATACTTTGCGCACCCGTTACCTACTTTAGAAAATATGTTTCAAAGTACCCTCATAAAGCTATGTTTTCGGCCATTTGTAAACTACGTACGTTATATACTAGCTGTGCCCGCGACTTCGTCTGGATGAAATACTGTCTTCTTTTAGTATTTTTATTTATTTGGATATATATATATATATTTAATTTTCATCCCGTATTCCCTCCCTATTGTTGTTTTACACCCTTGAGGGTAAAACTTTTGTAGACTTAGAATGTTTTATTTATTAACGCCAATACTGAAATAAGATTTGTTTTTTTTAAGTATGAAAGTAAACAATTATTACTTATGATATGATATGAACATTTCGATGGAACCTGCACAAGTCTAAGAAGAAATTCAAAGATATGGGTGACGTCAACCAACCCGCACTTGCCAACGTGGTTGACTAACGCCTAATCACCCTTAACTTAGGGTAGGCTCCGAGCCCCTCGGTGGGGACGTATAGTGAGCTGATGATGATGATATGATATGACATTTCTAAGACAACTTTTACCTTAATTTTACCTGTAGGTAGGTACATGGACGGACAAGCAAGGGCTTACATTAGTATCACCAAAGTATATACAACTTCATTCTCCGTCTTCTCTGGACCCAAATAAAACGTACATCGTAACAACAATACTGCAAGAACCTTACATGATGCAGAAACATGAGACGATTGGCTATAGCCGGAAAGAAGATCAGTTGCATGGATTTTGTAAAGATTTATTTGATATAATTGCAAAGAGACTCAAAATTAAATGTAAGACATGTATTTCAAATTATTTTTCTATCAGTCTTAACTGTATATTGATAACTTCACTAGCTTTCATCCGCGACACCGTACGTGCGGTATAAAAAAAAATAGTAGTCTATGAGTTCTTCCAGACTATGTTCTATATGTATATAAAATTTCATAAAGATCCGTTCAGCCGTTTTGGACATATCTTCAAACAAACATCCATCTAAACTTTTGCATTTATAATATTAGTAAGAAATAACTTTGATGTTAATATGGAATTTATTCTACAGTTAATAATAAAACTACTAAACTTAATGAAACTTTTAGATGAATTTCGACTCGTGAGGGAGAACAAAATTGGAAGCAATAGTAATACTGACGCTTGGTCCGGATTAATATCGGAAGTAGTTAAAAAGGTAAGGAATTCAAATATTGATATCGTACAACTATATCCGTCCCATATTAAATTTTAGAAAGCTACAAAATACAGCTTTAATATCAAGAATAAGGTTAAAGCGTGTATGTTTCCTATCAAATTATTGCAATTCCACATATAGTGGACAGATTAGGCTCCCATGTGTTCGGGGCTCAGTAATTAAATTACGTAAGTCACAGCACACCTGGGTTCCATTCAGTTTGTGCCTAACTAAACCGTAACCATGTCAGACAAATCCGTTATGTCTGAGTCTGCCGAAATTATATAGTTCAGGATATTAGTTTTCTAAAATGCATTTATAAAGATAACGTGCGAAATTTAATAAAAACACACAATTAGTAGCTTTTGTGTTCTTCCAGATTATGTTGTATATCATATCGGTTCGAATCCCGCCATTCGACTATTGTGGTAAACCATATCCTAGCACAAGCCTAGAGATTAGTTGGAATGGTTAAAGAAATATTAGTAAATTTCCCAAAAAATCTGCTAATATTTAAAAAAAATATATCTAACGTACCTTCAAACATCCATCCATACATCTAAACATTTGCATTTATAATATTACTACGATATATTAAAAACTAACTCTATAATATGATTACGTTTTACTTTTACTACGATTTGTATTGAATCCAACGTAAAATGAGCAGCTCAAAAACATATCCTTACAAGCTTAGTCGTTTAATACAAGACCCTTTTTGCGAAGGTCTTTGAAAATATCGATTATCTATAAAATGAAGCATGGACTATAAATACCAAATGACCGTCACAGTTGTTCTTGGATAATCCCCTTACGCTGACGGGAATAAATCATAAAAATTGATTGAACCTGATTATTACTGTCAGGTTGTAAAAAAAATCTTACAAAGACACAAATATTGTTTTTGTTTACGTAAACCTTTTGACAATATAAATGGACCACAAATATAAATGTAAAAAAGCTAAAGAAATTGTTTGTTTAAAGTATTTTGATTTGAAAGTTAAGTTTAAGTAGTAAACTTAGGATACCGGGAGCGTCGCTAGCTTCGGGGATTTAAGCACTTGACTTCTAATGTCTTGGATTCGAATCTCGCCATCTACCAATGTTTTTTTCGATTTTAGATTAACATACGTACATTAATGCGACTTTCTTACCGTGAAGGAAACAACGTGATTCGACTCGTATCTGCGAAGAAATACAAAGATATGTGTGAAGTCAACCAACTCGCACTGGGCCTGCGTAGTTGACAAGGGCCTTGTCACCCTTAACTTAGGGTAGGCTCCTATCACCTCTGTGGGAACGTATAGTGAGCTGATTAAACTTAGGATAGTTAACATAATCTTATGAATCACGCAATATTACAAATACAACTGTGAGTTATTTATTAAAGAGAGAATTTATTGATGAGAAGTGTGAATGTATTATAAAATGTTGTAAATTTACACTTTGTCTAAAGAAACATTTAATGCTTTCACTTCCTTTCTCGTTGTTACATATTCCATACAAATTGGACAGTAAGAATAAATGCCTCCGTAAACCAATATCTCGCTTTTATCCAAATCCACAATTTTCTTTGCGTCAGATGATACTGTAATTTTTAAATTCAGTTTTTACTTTTTAAATTTCAAACTAATTTATCACTATTTGAATAGTAGCAATATCGAAAAACTGCAGGCTAATAACTAGGACTCGATGATAATCCGACAATAGCCAAAGACGCCTTAAAACTACGAATATCTAACTTAACCAATACTTGTAGACAATATTGGGAAGATAAATATATGTTCAAAAATAGACTATTAGTGTTGTTTACAAAGTTAATATTTAAACAACATAAAAAAAATAAACGAATACTGAATCTTAAAATAATATTAAATTAAAACGAACTATAACTCCAGCGGTAAGGAAATATCTTATAAGATGCTTCTCTTTAACTGTATTCCTACTTAAAAGAATTTGCTATGTGAATTTTACAGTGAGCGGACGTATTTTCTCTTCAGATATATTGGAAATACGAAAGAGATACTAAGCAAATTGGATCTTTGAAAAGTTCTGAAAGAAAGATTAACGTAATATAATCCGATACTTAATTTTATTGAAACTACTTTAAACCAAAATAGGTTAAATAGTTGCTAAATTAAACGGTTATATTTTTACTCTTTTTACCGTGGGTTTCTGTAATCTTTTTCATCCTCCATTATCTTTAACAAAGCAAAGATAACAATATGTTTAAAACAAAGATCTTGGTCTCGGAGACTCGCGGTTACTAAGTGAGAAACAGTTATAAATCATATTATATAAAGCTGTGCTTTTTAATCTCAAATGTCGATAGGTCAATATCAATTAGTTTTACAAAGTGCTTCTACATGCAATTGTACTTTAACTTGATTTATCTTAGAATTTGATTACTTTAACCGCAGAGACTCGGAAACGCGGTCGCGACCGGGAACACGCATTAGCGGATATGTTACTCGATGCGCTCGGATTACCAATTAGTGTCGGATTTTTACATGACAATTATGAATTAACAAAGATATAGTATGATTTAGATATGATAGTCAGCTAATTTTTATATTAAACAAGTGATATCCCGCGTCGTTGCTTGGTATATGCATCAGATACCCGACAAAGTTCCATCAAAATCTGTCATGTTGTTCCGGTGTTTAACAGGAACAAACGCGGCGGAAAAGATGTACAGACACACAGTCAAAAATATTTAAAATTTGGTTTATCGTTATCGGCATTTGCGTATTTACATACAGACAATCCAATTATATAATATGTTTATATTTGTAATCTGGATCATCGTACACAGAGGTTTTATTTCGTTTCCGTAGGAAGCGGATTTAGCAGTGGCTCCTTTAGCGGTTACAATTGAAAGAGAAAAGTTGGTTGATTTTAGCGAACCTTTTCTTTCAATCGACAATCCCGTCGTTCTTACAAGAGCGCCAAAGCAACTAGCTGATACGTTCAGTTTTCTAAAACCACTGTCAAAGGAGATATGGGTAAGTGAATCAATTTTGAAACCGAATTTTATCTTTTTATATAAAATTATACGATATTCAGATTTTTATACCAGACGTTGACAATAGGGGAAACGGTCACCTGGTCACCAATTAGCGAAGTGACCACTACTCATAGTAATAATTTGAAAGGATTGAGATGCTATACCTTTAATGGACAGGTGACAGGATTTATAGAAAAAAGAAACTTTCCTGTTCTGTACAATCACTACCTCTCCTAATTAACTTCCTCTGTCTCATCCTTATATTAAAAGAATGGCAAGGGGTGTCCAACCCTTGCCATTCTTGCCATAAAATAATGCATATGCCTTTAAAATTTATTTGTCATGAACTGGTTAATATTCAACAACGGTTAGATAACAAAGAATACGGCAGTAGTGAACAAAAGTTTCCTGCACCGATATACACAACTAACTTTCTTTGTCGCCCGAAGCGTAACCAAACATTTTACGATAAAAGCTTGTTCACACAAGATTGTTTGTGACAGTTCTTCGAGGGAGGGGAAGTAAGATGGTAATTGATTTATGGCATTTATGAAGCTAGTGAACAAGTAAATGTACATTTCATGCATTTATTTTTTATATTAAATTACAAACGAAATTCAAGTAATAACGAAGCGAACAATTAAAAAATTTCCAACCTCTATACCCAGAAAAAGCGTCGGTGTCTCAGGGGTTAGCACTTGACTTGTAATCTGCAGGGCCTGGGTTCGAATTCCGTCATGTACGAATGTGTTTATCGATATTCTGTTTTACATATGTACATTAATTCGACGAAAACATCGTGAAGCAGCCAGCACATATCTGCGAAAAAATTTAAAGATATGTGTGAAGTCGACAAACCTTCGTTAAAAGTTTAATTTTGTTTCAGCTATGTATAATCTTTAGCTTTTTCGCTGTAAGCATTGTATTATTCTTAGTATCAAGATTTTCACCAAATGAATGGCGATCTGTGTCAATTTCGGACACACATATTGAACAACCATTATCAAGCACCAATGAGGTTAGTATTAATCTATATAGTTTTTTATTGTAAGATAGAACAATGCAAAATTATTGACGGTTTAAAGGAAAATAAAATGCTAATGCGGATTCAAATATAATTTATTTAAGCAATAACCACATTAATCACTCTACTCGTACTATATGATTTTTTCGTTGTCATTTGACGCTTTTGTCCATGTTTGGAATTTTGGTTTTTAATCAAATATTGGTTAAAAGATTTTTGTTTTAATGTAGATAATATTACACAACGAGTTCAGCATTTGGAATTCCTTTTGGTTCTCCCTTGGATCGTTTATGCAACAAGGCAGCGATGTGGTACCAAGGTATGCGATAAAATCTATCTGTAACTTTACGATCCCTGAAATTTCTCTCGTGACTAAATTTGAGAAGCGTTACAACAATGTTGGCTGTCGATGTTGTTGAATTTAAAGTAAGCCGGTCAATATTACTCTGCGAAACCGGCGGAGAACTCCTAGATTAAATTCCATGCCTAGAGTTAAATCGTGCGTGCTTGAGATATAGGACAGTTTATTGTGTGTACAAGTAAAGGCGGGGTAAAGAGAATGCTTGATAATCACCTTGTTATGTGTACTCAAGCGGAACGTAAGAAATTGTTACGTTTTACAATTCCATATTACTTTTTACTGCTTAAATTTATGGATCGTTTTTAATGTTTTCATTTTCTTGTACTCACTGACACTTGTAAATTATCGTGTCAATAAATTATCACGTCAAAATTGTCTTTGATCTTTTCCTAAGTACATACTTTGGTAAAATCTTAGTGAATCTTGTTTTGTCAAGTTAAATAACTTCGCAGGTCGCTATCGGGAAGAATCGTTGGTACAGTATGGTGGTTCTTCGCCCTCATCCTCGTGTGTTCGTACACCGCTAATCTTGCTGCCTATCTTATCGTAGAACGTATTGCGGAACCGGCTCAAGCCCTACAATACGCATCGAAAGTTCATACCGAAGTAAGCGAGACATACAATTTTAAAACATACAGGTAACCAATTGGTGATGAATTTGCGAAGCGCCATTGCCGAAGCGAATTAATTATCATTTGTTTTTTTTCCAAAGAGGAAAAGTTAGATGGCATACATTTTCGTACACGTGTTTCGGCCTAAACCTTGTTAAAGGGATTCAAATTCAATTGTTTTTCCTTATCCTTCCATTTCTTTATTAAAACGAATTGTTTTATATCCACTCAAGAGTATAACAACATTGTACAGTTCCAAGTGATAGTACGAAAATGGAATATTGTACGTTACTTGTCAAGACCTAAGGTATCCGTTTAGTACCGACATAAGAATAAAATAACTTCTATACCGTTGTGTTAATATTAAATGTTTTTTGCAGAATTACATTTCAGCTTTATACACTTTAGTGAACGATCCTGTACTTATTCCAAACGCTGAAACTGTCATACAAAGAAATTATAACGTAAATAATGATAACTGTAAAACATTGACTCGCGTATGCCGATATAGACATGTGAATTTTGCCATCGCCATGCCGAAAGGATCACCGCTAAGGTAATTATTTGTACACAAAAGTATCTATTATTAATATAAAACATACTAGCTATCGCCCACAACTCCGTCCGCGCGAAATTGAAAAAAAACTTTATTAGTAGTTTATGTGTTGTTCCTATGTTCTAAATTAACGCCAAATTTTAGCACGATTCATGCAACTGTCTGGAGATAACTTCTAACAAACAACCATCCATCTATCCAAACATTTACATCTTACCAATATTATAAATGCTACAGTTTAGATGGATGTATGGATGTTTGTTTGAAGGTATTTCCAGAACGGCTGAACGGATCTCGATGAAATTTTGCACAGATGTAGAACATAGTCTAGAAGAACACTTAGGCTACTAAATAAGTTTTTTTATTTCAGTTTATTATAATGGATATTGGTAAGGTAAGAGACATATAACAATAACAAAACAAAGATGTAAGGATGTAAATATATTTTATACAATTTTGAATGGAAATAATAATTTTCTTTTAGCATTTTATTCCAGTGTCAGTTCAATAGCTAACATTTCACTGTATTGAGAAAGAATCAAATAAACCAATAACAGTAGACAATTTTTCTCGCCTAGCTGTGATGAATGTAATTGTATTGATTTCAATCTACTTCACTTCTATTCGATTTCTGAGGAAGTCAGCTCGAAGGCAAAACTCGTTTCCGACTAGTGTGAAAATGAGGCGTACATATCGGAGATAAATTCAATATGTTTTGCAAATAAATTCAATATATCAGCTTTTAAAACAAAGTTAAGAATTTCTTTCAATGGTAAAGAATATTAGCTTCCTTTAAAAACGAAATGAACTTCCTTGCACTTTGGTGTTGCGTTCATATAGCACAAGGTAGCGAAATAAGATGACAAATTTTATTACAAACTAGCGGGCACTACTTTGTCATACATCCTTTCCTACCTTTCTTTTAAAATAGTTCCAGCTGTTTCGAAGACTACACGAAACAAACGCGGACTTATGGACAGACAGATTACACAGACAAAAATTTAAAAAAAGATTTTATTACTAACTTAAAGACATCATGTTTGCCAAGATATGGTCATTTTTTTTATATTTACACGAATGGGATTTAAAGAAATACAAGTTTTTCATTACTTAAATTGCATTACATTTACCGTGAAAAGTTAAAAAAATTAAAAATCTACTAGGGATAGGAAAACGATTATTAAATAACATAAAAAGCCTGATCGTACTATATTTTAGCTTGAGTAAAAGGTGTACGTGAATAGAATATTCAAACACTCGTACTTTATTACTGCACGGCAACGCATTCTTTGGCCTCGCTCAATGACAAATAATGCTTTGACTATTCATTCGCACGATGTTACTTGCCGTGGACTACACATATGCAGAATTATTAATAAACTACGAAATTAAAAGCTATACTGCTATTAAGAACGTTTTTATTTAGAAATGCCTTTGCCTTAATTCGTTGTACTGTAATACCGAGCAAAGAAAAAACGATGTGTTAATTTTGTTTGACATTTTTAATATTCATTTATAAAATTAGATTTAAAATCATTGATAAGATGGTGCTTAAAACGTACATACAGTTGACATTGTTTACATGATAAAAGAAACTATGTAAAACTCCAAAAGGATTGTATAAATAAATGTCTAACGAAAATACTAAAAATTCACTTAACCTATAAAGAAAAAAAAATATTCTGAATACTACATCTGCTATTAAACTCTGAGAAAAGTGGGTCTTTTGAATGTAATGGAAATAAGAAAAAATACGATGCAAACACAGGCAGAGCAATCACCGTTTCATTATATGCACCGAGTTAAAATAGCTAAGAGCAGTTCCAGACGTGCATGAAATAGGCTGCCTTGTGTTAGGAGCAAACAAATCACACGACATACTTTACAAATGCGTACCGTGTGACATTTATCTAATAGCGTGTTTATTATGCAGTCGTAAAATTATCAAAATAATACCCAATATTTATCTGACTGTCTGTCATCTTATTATCTTTGCTATTAATTACTCGATTTTATGATACACAAAAAAAATTGTTAAATGATATTTAACTCTCAGGAACCTTCTCTGGATTTCTGATGATTCAAATTTTAATAAGTATCTAATTTTATATAGGTGTAATCAAATGGGGCTGATTCGATTTGCATAAAGATATTGGATATGGATCTGAACATCTTGTCGTTCTGCCTTATCTAGGTCATATCTTATACAGTTACCTCTTACTTATACGATAATATACGTTTATTGCTATATTTTCAGGTATTTTGAGGCCCAAATTACAGCACTAAATGTATATTTATCATGTACCCTCATTTAGTTATTTTTCTATCATAAGTTGACAAACGCGTGAGCGGTCACCTAAAATCGCTGAAATAGCGAAGTGACCATTGCCCATAGATATACGCAATTGCATGTGCGTTGCCTACCTTTAAACGGCGGGGGAGAGGATGCGCAGAAAGAAAACACCTCCCATCCTTTCCTTGTAAGAAAAAGGCTAGGAAGGAAAAGAGGACTAAATTAGGCCTCCGGGACGCACACTCATCAGACGAAACGCGGAATTGCTTCCGCTTCACGCCTGTCTTCTATGTCATCGTGCTATTTCAGCGGGCGAGTCGGGCCGATTCGTTCGAAGATGTTAAAGCGGGCTCTACCACTGATAGTTACTTTACAATACAACCACCTTATTAAAATTACCTGTTACCGCGACTTTATCCACGCGAAATACTGTCTTTGAGCTGCGCGGTACTGGACAGTACTTGGACCTTGCAACATAACTTTATTTTTCTAAAATAAACGAAGCCCTAGTTACTCCTTATTACATCATCTACCCTCCCAATAAAAGTCCCGTTAAAATCGGACCAGCACTTTTTGAGATTAGCCGGAACAAACAGACAGACAGAAAAAAATAAAAAATAAATATTTTGTACCAATCATAGTGTAATTTATATTAAAAAGAAGATACTTGATAATACTTTATTAACTTACTACTAACAGTTCATACGGAACGTAAGTCTCAATGGTTGGCGCTTACATCAAATAACCATTACCAATTTTTAAGGGGATCAATAAAAAGGGCACAACGAGACAGCCACGTATTGGAATTTAGAGTGCTTTTCAAATACCCAACCTATTACGTATTCCCGTTACAAGCAAAATATATATTAAAACATTCAACATGCACTTGCAAATAATAAATAATTTATACATTTAAACAAGTATTACTAAGAAAATATTTTAAGCCGAATAACCTTTTAAACAATCCACTGTATAGTTTTTAGTTAATGTCTAGTTTTGGATTTTTCCCCGTTGTTCGCTTAGTCATTTGTTTTTTTCATTTTATACCCATGTTGATGTGATTGTATAACATTCCTGTGCCGGCTCGGTGGCTTTATTTTAGTTTTTTCATAGTGCACCATACTCTGCTGGTCATAAGCCCTTTCATTTGAAATATCAGTGGTTGTGTTAAAATGTCAAAATTGCATTGTTTTGTGGCGGCGGCCATCTTGGAGAAACAAATACAGTTGATGAGCAAACTAATAGTGGGAATTAATAAATTTTTTTCGTGAATTTTACAATGTACTTATTGTTTCGAAACCTCTCTTAGTCAAAAACTACGTCGGACTATAACTAATTCGGAGATAATTTTGAAAATTTTATGTTGAAAAATAATAGAAAACTGTTTAACCATTAACATGGCGTAATTTGCGGATAAAAAGCGGAATTACAAACTCTAGCGTAAATTTTGAGTACGCAGGAGAGTACCCACTATCTGGCTGAAATCTCGCCTCTATACGCTAAATCCCTGTTGAATACTGAATAGCCGTAAATTTACATGGGGGCCCGTCAGTAGGGAAAGTGGATACACTTCGCATTTCGAATTTATACCACCCCATTTTATGGTACTAGATTTGTGGACGTGATTTTTAACAACAAGTTAAAAATTTCCATTTTATTTCGCGCGGATGTCTTTTTATGATTCGAGAATTGTGACGCTGACGAGGGAACTTCGTGAAGCGAAATGGAATTCATACGTCTTTGTCGGGCTCCACTTCAAATTTATGAGCACGTGTTTTTATTAGCATCTAGTCTGTAATTTTTACTTCTCATAATTTAAATTACGGTACCGCATATATTTCACATTTTTATAAAAAACAAAATTGTATTTAATAAATAATACACCGTAAGATAATCCTGTTTTTGAACGCATTTATTCTAAATTTTTAGGGAAAGTATTAATCTTGCAATTGTAAACATGAAACGGGAGGGAGTTATTACAAAACTGTGGCAGAAATGGATTACAATTATCGATAAACCTGAATGTGAAACCGTCAAAGACGAGGTTCGTATTAAAACAGAAGAATTGCATTATGTTAATGAGTTTAAACTTTTTTAATGTGCCTATTATTTTTAGGAAACCGCAGTGACTGAAATGACTCTAAGTCAAGTTGCTGGTATATTTTACGTGCTCGTTGGCGGATTGGCGTTAGCTTTGACTGTTGCATTATTGGAGTTCTGTCAACATGGTCGTGCTGAAGCTGCTCGAGCTAATGTGTCACTACGCGCTGCGCTGAGAGCTAAAGCAAGGCTGGCGTCGCGTTCTCAGCATAAGACACCACCGCAACGTACACCACAACGTGAACATGATCGTCTAGGATGGAATGGATCTGCTTTTGCTGGGGTCAGTAGTTACAATGTACTAAGCATGAATGTGAACGTTTAGCTAAAATTTATAACAGTCTTATGTTTGCGATGAACACGTATCATCGCTAAGTAATATAATATAGATATAGAGAGAGGTGGAATAAGAAAAGTATTCGAGGGACCCCTAATTTGAAATCTCAACCTACTACTAGATTCATCTATTAGGGTTTTTAAAGAAATACTGGCAACATTGACGTTTTTTAGTGAAAGCGCGTATTCGATCTTCCCGCACTCATATCTATATCGAAAATTGTATTGCGAATACAACGAAAGTATCCTTTGTTTCGCAAAAACTATTGGGGTATCAAAAATAGTAAAACTGTAACGATATTAAAGGGTGAATATCAACACAGTACCATAAGAGTCGTTTATACGACACCTCTTCGGTCGTTTAGCCGAATTTGCACATTTGCTAGAAGGCAAAAGCGCCTGCATTTTGTATAAGCATACTTTAATGGGTATTCGAGATATTTCTGTTGTTTTCCAGTATGAAATCCTAAATACTCTTGTTCTTTTTAAGAAATGTTATTTTAAACTAAACCTTACTACTATTATAGTCAGTTTAACAACAAAAGTCAATATCGTAACATCAAAACAAACTTGTTATACTTCGCGGATAGTTTTACGATTTTTGCGTAAAAAGAAAAAAAAAACATTAATTAAAAGGAACTATCATTTTTTTATTTTAATATAACAGTGCTCTCTTTTTCATATAGTACACTGACTTCCTCTTAGGAAGGGAAATGATGGGAAATGTACATCGGAAGATATATTAGGAAAACACATCTATGGTGTAAGTTAAATATGAGCATCGTGTTTTGCCCTGTCAAATCATTTACATTTGTGATGTCTTCAAGCTGTTTTGTATAAGTTTTTGCCGTGTGACGTTGACCCATTAAACATAAAAGCCTACTCGTATTCAACACTACCAACCAAAAGTCAAATTCTAGTCTTTTCCCTTTCTTATCCCGTTTTAACAAGGTAAGTACGGGAAGGGGAAGTGGACTAGACGGAGGAAGGGATGATGTAACTATTATTATGTGTCCCTTCTATTTCTTATAAAGGTCAAAACATTTGCAACCTTTTTCTTACAGATTTCTATAGTCATTTTGGTACTTTAGCAAAATCAATAGACCATTTGTTCATTTGTTACCTTTTCCAAGAAAATGACCAAACTTGAAGATTCATTATTGTCAATGTACTTTATATGCATTGAAATAATAAAATAAAATAACTTCCACTTTCCTAACCTGTTTCTTTTTTTATTTCCAGTATTTTGCGACTGGCAACCAAATATCTCAAGAGGACGCTGTGCACGCCAGTTTCACTCACGTGTGATCCGCGGAGAAGGGTGGCGTAAATATACGTCGCTCATCTGTCACGAAAATACCGAATAATGCTGTTGATTTATATCAGTTATAATTGTTTATATTTCTTTGTTTGTTTCACCGTTAGTTTCTACTATCGAATGAAACAATCCTATACGTTTAGCAAAACAATATGAATCCTCTTCATGTTGCTTAAATCCTTTGAACTAATTTCTTCTAATGTATCGTCAGCTTACTATTCGTCCCCACTGAGGGGCGGAGCCTTCCCTAAGTAAGAGGTGACTAGGCCATAGTCAAACACGTTGGCCCAGTGCGGGTTGGTTGACTTTACACATATCTTTGAATTTCTTTTTAGATTTGTGTTGGTTGAATCACGATTCCTTCACCGTAAGAACGTCCGATAAATAGACCTTTGTATATCAGAAATCGGAAATCGAAAACACATTGGTATGTGGCGGGATTCGAACCCAGGACCTGCATATTGCAAGTGCTTAACCCCTGAGCCACCGATGTATGACCGATTTCTTGTTATGGCAACATCAATTTCATTTACCTTATTAAAAATACAACTCCGATATTCTTGATCGGTGAAAAAAAATATTTTATGAAATATTGTTTGAGTAAATCATTTTCTAATTATTCAGATCACTTTTTTATACTTAAGAAATTATAAAACGCTACGCATCTGCGGTTCCTCTGGTGTTGCAGATGTCCATGGGTGTCGTTGATCACCTCGGTGTTCCAGCCGCTCGTTTGCCCCCTTCTCTTATTAAAAAAAACAACTTTTAGTTGTAACAACTATAACCAGTTAGCAATAATTTATTGTACACGTAATATATTTAACATGTAAGCATCACATTATTAACTATGCTTTGTAGTCACTATAATTCTGTAGTTTAAGAATTTATCCCTCTTCTAAATGTAGACTAGTTTAACTATAATCTTCGATTAAAATATTTAGAATAACTAATAAAGTAAATGTTCCGTAAACAAAGCTTTTGAAATTGAAGCAATAACAAGATAAAAAAACATTTTTAAATTAAGTACAAATAAGTTCCCTTGGTCAATGTGTAGCACAAATAATTGTGACAATATCTTTCTCATCATCATCGTCAATTACGTCAAAGTTAATATGAGATTGTTGGTGTATTTGAAGCCGATTGGGACTTAAAATTACAATACAATCGACGATGACCATACGTTACTGATTGCCAAAAATATTTGTGCTAGGCCCACAGACTTTTCATAGCCAACAGATAAACTTAATAACGGTACCTGAGATTATAAATAATTTTTTACAATTTTTAAAAGGGGATTAGTATTCGTAGTACAGAGTGCAACATGCAACGTTATAGTAAAGTAATTTTCAACGTTAAATTTCGATTCGTGTCTACAAATAATTGGTAAAGACATGTCTAATATTTTTAATATCTATATTTAAATGAAGTATGTAAGAGCATATTAAAATTACAATTCATTTCTACATTTTTATATCTCTTTAAAAATATTGCACGTTATTTTAATAAAATGATTTTTTTTTCTATTCCTTTTGAGCACCATTGTTTCTCGTTGATGCACCTTTCAAGTCACTAAAATCAATTTATGATTGCTTTTAACCCTAACAACATTTCTGTTGTTTTTAAGAGTGTATAATATTTGGACCCTCTGTGCCAAAACAACAAGTACAAGTATAAAGTTTCACAGTTTGCACACATATATAATACTATAATGAAATTAAATAATAACTAAATTAATACTAAGCTATACTAATATTTCTTAACATTGAAATTTTAACTTTTTTATTGGATACTGTAGTACAATGTATAAAATTTAAATATATTTTTAGCCGTCTTCAAAAAGAAGGCGGTTATCAATTCGTCCGTATTTTTTAATATTCAGTTATTATAATTTAGTTTACAAATTATGTAATAATCTTCCTTTAAATATATCAGGAAGGCTCTTTGCCTTTTTTGTTTAGCACAAATTAACTGAATGTTACTCTACCTTTTTGGAATGTAATTTCGTTGTCATCATTTAAGCAATTCGTAATTTTAAGTATAATATTTAATGTTAAAGATTTGAATCATATATTGTTCACACATTTTTAGTCATATTTATGCTTAACCCTTAATTCGACGAAATTTTTTGGAGCAAAAAAACTTTTTTTTTAGTAAAGTCATACTTACGTAATTTTCGTTTAAACTAGTTCAGTAGATTTTTTTTAATTAGTTGTTCGTCACACTGGACACCATCAAATTAAGGGTTAAAGTTGCCAATAATGTGTGAATAATTTATCAATTCACATAATATTCGTAGTAAAAATCGTAGTTAATCGCTAGTTTAGTTAGACGGTAGATTAATATGATATGAACATTAATTAAGAAACTATAACTTATAAAAAAAAACAAAAAAAAAGTATATTAAAGCAATAACGCACTGCAATAAGCGCGCAATTTAAAAGTTGATAGAAGCTTGTCACGGTTTTCCCTCTTTATATTTCTATATTATTATATTTCTACGTTATTAATATTAAACTCTTTAAACTTATTTCTACAAAATAAAAAAGACAGTAATAACTAATTTTAAATTGTCAAAACTTAACAATAATAGTAGTTATTTAATTATGAGAAACCTAGTATCGTCTCTGTCATACTCTCTGAAAAAAATGAGATAACAATATGCTCTCTATGTCTGGTTAGGATTTTCTTTTTTTTATTAAAATACGGTATTGATTTTAGTGTAAGAGTGACGAGATAGCTATAATAAACTTAAAAGTAATATTATATTATAATTGTAAGAATAAAAAGCTAGATTCAGATTAACAGTACGAAGTTCTGATATAAATTAGCCACAAAATGTGCCAAATGTTTGCCTTAAAATGCCATATAATAGATACGAAAGAAAATCAATAGCTTTGACAAAAGTTCCTTGATGAAATATAAATTGTTCATTTTGAAATATTTTAATATCTTTGTATGAAACATGACATTTAAAATAGAAGCGTTTATTAAGATATTTATACCACATTTACTGTTAGTTAGTTATAAGTCGTGTTAAAAAAAATGTTTCTATTGTCGTAACATTTGTTCAAAATATTTTTCTCTCTTTCTATCACTCAGTCTTTCTCTGTCTTTTATTATATTTGAGAAAAATTTAAAAAGGATTAATTTTTAATTATATTTAAAGCATATAAATAAATTCAGTTGTAATATATTTGTTTCTATATTTAATCTTATTATATTTGATTTATGCAATTTTTATCTTAAAATTAAAAAAACATACATTTTAAAACACAACAGCGCCATATATTTACTGCCATTAGATCATTATTGTATACAATTTACATTTTTAAAAGTTATTATCACGTTCATATCTTCTTAAACTTTTAATAAATTTTGGTAATTCTAGTACAACCAATTGTTTTATTTGTACCAAACAATGACAAATTTTACTTTACACATTCAATGCAAAAATTCTAACAACCTGAGTATACTAAAAACAAGACATTCGACAAATTATTAAGCAACTTAGTACCTGATAATTTTGTGTTTTGGTAGACAACCTTACAGCTTTTATGTTAAAAGAAGCTTAAATTGAATTAATATTGTAGGATCATTCTAGATCCATTTTGTCTAAAAGGCGACAAGGTGCAAAGATAAGATAACAGACCAGAATGTTACATAATATTACCGTTAATTTCAGGACAATCCACGTTATGAATATACAACGCAGGAAATTGAATACCGTATTATTTTTTCATAATAGATCAATCTATTTTTGTAATATTTATGATACTTGTGTCTGTCGTTTATCTATTTTCTGTATGAAATAAAATTTTAAAACACTGCCATCTCTCGAATCTACGAATAAACTACAGTACTTCCGTGAAATCATTTTCTAGACTTTTGCACAACCCATTCTCGACATCACGTATTTAGACAATAATTTAAATTAAAATTGTCTATTGAATTCAAAAATAGTTAATTGAAAAAATCAATTTGTAAAGTAAATAACGTTCATTTTATTTTAATTTTTTTAAACTGTTTCTCTATAGTGTTATCGTTCGTTGATAAAAGCTCCATCTATTTAACACAACCGGAACTATCTACATGATACAACACCAGCGCTCATAACTTATTTAATTTATGTTTTCTTTTTAAGGCGTTAGATGGATTTAAGGTTGGTAAAGGATGCAATAAATTTGTGCAGACGTGTACCGAAAATCAAGGGAGCATGTCGCTTGTATCTGAAAAGTTGTGAATTAATGGAGACGAGTATGATAAATATAAAGTTATTTCTATAATATTCTTGTATAATAATAACAAATAGTATCAAACGTCTTCTAGTAACATATAATGATGGTATACCTAATAATAATAAATTACTAGAATCTTTAAAACCCTTATTTTTCATTAGTACTGCAACGACAGTTATAGAATTTTTTATAAATTTTGTAAATCGTAAAAACAGATTTTAATTAAATTTATATTCATTAATAAATCATGAAAACTTTATAACACACATAGATTAAAAAAAATACGAACGAATTGATAACGTCTTTCCTTTTGAAATCGGTTAAAAATATGAAAATCGATAGACGACTATTACTTTTAAAATTCTTAAGCTTTGATTAATTTGTTGTACATTAAAAAAAACTAAATTACTTGCGTGCAACTGACGTACTCATGTTACTACAAATTATTTAAAGGAAGTTTTTTTTTAGTTGTAATTTATTATGTTGGTCACCAAAGTATTCATGGAACACCTTTCGCCAATATTCGTTATTCATGAGCGATAGCGTGCGGCTTTTTGAACAAAAATACTAGAATACCAAATACCAAATATAACACAATCAATTATATTCCGTATGTCCTCTACTTAAGGATGTTATTCCATTGAATTCCGTCACGTCGGCTTAAGCATTTTTCTTCCACCATTTTAAGACTGTATCCAGTCAGGTACCTACGCGAGTGTATTTATAGGCCTCTAAAGCGTTTCTCTATACATAAAGTATTGTTAGAAATTACAAAATATAGGTTAGAAATCTGAAAAGACATT